CATCAAATGTTCATGACATCTTTTCTTGCAATATTTTTTATACTGTAAACCCGCTGCTTACGAATAAGATTAACGCCTGTTAGACGAATAAAATGTATTATTTCATGAGAACGGAGATAAAAATACATAATTGATATTAAATCAATGTAATTATAAAAACGACTAGTAACTATTGCACTATATATCTATGTCGAACACTGAATAGTAAGAAAAGCATTCTAGTCAGTATGACTGTTTTGTTAACAAATTGAATTATTGAAATGATATCCATTCACAGGCGCGTAGCATCGTTTTTGAAAGTGGGGGGGAGGCAGCCAGAATTTTTTTTTTTACTTACCTGAAAAAGTTGACAAGCAAAAGAAAAAAAAGAAAAAAAGTTGCCCAAAGTCGAAAATCCTATATCGTGTGTGTGTGTGTGTGTGTGTGCGGTGGGGAGGGGCGGGAGGGGGGGGTTTAGGTATACTTTTTCTCAGTGTCAACTACTTCAGTCGCCCGCGTGGCGCAGTGGTTAGAGGGTTAGAGCGTCTGCTCTAGAGTCGCGAAGTAAGGAGTCAATCCTTACGTCGCGGGTTCGAATCCCACTGTGGGACGTGGAGACCGGTCCTTCGGATGAGACCGTATAAACCGAGGCCCCGTGTCGCAGTAGGTGTTGGCACGAAAAAGATCCCTCACTGCTCAAAGGCACTGAGTGCCGAGCATAGGACAAAATTTGTAGCCCTCCACCGGCAAGTGGTGGCGTCTCCATATGAGTGAAAAATTCTCGAGAGGGATGTTAAACAATATCAATCAACTTTCAGTAACAATTCTAATACTACATTTTCGGTACATCACTAAAAGTGTAGGGGGGGGGGCAACCAGGCTGTCAATTAACATTTCCTATAGTATAAGTCAGGTTGGGGAAAAAAGGGGGCAGCCTTCCTGCCCCCCCCCCCCCCTGTTGCTACGCCCCTGATTCAGGAATATAGATACATGTGTAAGGAATATAAATGCAAATCTTGCTATCCCAGATAATGTAAACGTTCGCTCTCGTAATTATCTGTATTTCATGCACCATGAAGACACACTAATTTTATTTTTTAAACAAATTAACATTAAATGTAATTGTAGACAGAGGAACCTCCATATATAACCCTTGATTTGTTCTCATACGGAAGTAATATTTTGTGAAAATAATGTGTTATGAAAAGAATAAATTCCCGAGGGGGAGTCTCGAGTTGGGTAATGTAGAAAATCCTGGTGAGAGGAATCGACTTTGTTTAAAAATGATAATTTTTAAATTCCAGCACAATATGAAATAAATTTATATGAAGCAAGGATCTTGTATAAAGTGCTTATCATTAATATCAATATCGGTATGTGTAAGTTTACACAGAGCACATCTCAAAATCTGAATATGAACTATTAGATATTTAAAAATAAAACCATTTTTTAAAATGTATAAGTAAATAAAAATATCATATGAGTTGATTTTTCTACCCTTTTGAAAAAAAAAATAAAAAAACAGTTTCAGTTCGGTTTCAGCATGGGAAAACCATACAGAATCGAAATCAATAGTAAAAAGATCATATGAGTTGATTTTTATACCCTTTTGAAAAAAAAATAATAGAAAAAGTTTCAGTTCGGTTTCAGCATGCGGAAACCATATGGAATCGAAATCAATAGTAAAAAAATCATTTGAGTTGATTTTTCTACCCATTTGAAAAAAAAAACAGAAAAGAAAAAGTTTCAGTTCGGTTTCAGCGTGCGGAAACCATATAGAATCGAAATCAATAGTTTCCGGAAACTGAAACCTACTGAAACTAAAAAGTATCGTTAAATTGACATTCCATTAAATTTTACATTGGTTTCCGTTTTGCGGAAACTATTTGGAAACAAACCTAATAGTTTCAGCATACGGAAACCCTACAGAAACTTGCTGAAACTATTATATAGTTTCCGAATTGCGGAAACCATACAGGAAACTTCAACGCCAAGTTTCAGCAAGGTTTCCATATAGTTTCAGTTTTGCGGAAACTGGACTTTTCACCCAGTGTTTGGATTAAAATCCTAAACGTAACATATATATTACATGTACCTGATATTCAAATGTTATCCTGAAAATTTTCTGAATCATGAGGAATGATTGATAAAGGAGGGGATTGAATGTTGTCATCAAGCTTTTTTTTTCAAATTTTCAATTTACCAAAGCTGTTAAAGCTTCTCTGCAGTTTTGACAAATTGCTGGAGAGTAGAAATGAATTTGACAACAATTGATTTTTAAAGTGGTATCTGAAATGTTATCATATCATGAATTAATTGTAATAAAAACATACATGTTTTATGGATGCTACATGTGATATGGTATAATTTATTTTGTTCTTAAATTAAAATTATTAAATAATTCTTGACTATATGTAATTTGTACATCGTCCTTGACATGTAAAGTATACAGCATCAGGATGATCTCATCTGTACAGATCAATCCTGTAAAGCTAAAACTATTCATAAATCTGTGCAAGATTGATATGCCTGTAAAATATTGCTGAAAAAAAGTGGTCAGCAGAGAAAAAATTTGAGACAGAAAGGCTATACCTTAGAGAAGTCAATAAAGACTGACAATTAACTAATAAGAAAGTACACACAGAGTTGTCATATTCTTACACCTTTAGATAGATTTCTTTACCTAATTCACAGTTAATTACCTTGCAGAGCAAATAACTTGTATCAAGGTCCAAAAAATTATACATAGTATGACAAAGTAAGATCTAGTTCCTTCACTTTATTAGCTGTAAATCTGTTTGTCTACATGTACTGATTTAATTTTCATAATTCTGCTCTTAAACTTTGTGATCAATTGTTTGAAATATTCTACGGTCCTGATGTTGCTTAAGATTTCAACAAATTTAAACAACTATTCAGTCATCATTGGCAAAAGTTAAAGGTTTAAAATTTCCATGGTATGATTTCTACAAATCCGTTTTGTTAAAATAGAATGGACACAAACATATACTGAAAGGAATAAGAAACACAGGGTCCAGTTAACTATAGCTATAACTTTGAGACTTTGAAAACTTTGGTTTACTACATTGATCACTTTGACACTTTGAAACTTTATCGAAAACTTTGACGCTTTGAAAAACTTTGGCCAACACTTTGACACTTTGAAAAAGTTTGGCCAAAACTTTGACATTTGAAAAACGTTATCAAAAAACTTTGACACTTTGAAAAACTTTGACGAAAACTTTGACACTTTGAAAATCTTTATCGAAAACTTTGACACTTTGCAAATCTTTATCAAAAACTTTGACATTTTGATTTGGTGAAAACTTTGACACTTTGAAAAACTTTATCAAAAACTTTGACACTTTAAAAAACTTTATCGAAAAATTTGACACTTTAAAACTTAATCGAAAACTTTGATAGTTTGAAAACTTTATCGAAAACTTTGACACTTTGCAAATCTTTATCAAAAACTTTGACATTTTGATTTGGTGAAAACTTTGACACTTTGAAAAACTTTATCAAAAACTTTGACACTTTAAAAAACTTTATCGAAAAATTTGACACTTTAAAACTTAATCGAAAACTTTGATAGTTTGAAAACTTTATCGAAAACTTTGACACTTTGAAAAATTTGATCGAAAACTTTGACACTTTGAAAAACTTTGGCGGAAACTTTGACACTTTGAAATTCTTTATCGAAAACTTTGACATTTTGATAAATTTGGTGAAAACTTTGACACTTTGAAAAACTTTATATCAAACACTCTGACACTTTAAAAAACTTGATCGAAAACATTGACACTTTGAAAAAGTTTGGCGAAAACTTTGACACTTTGATTTACTTAAGTTAAGTATAGTAAACCGTATTAAACTTTAGTAAACTATATTAAACTATAGTTAACTATAGTTTTTTTTGTTAGGGGTAGCATTATATTAGATAAGTATTTATCTACATGACCGAAAATTATGAACAAAAGGCCCATGGGCCTTATAGGTCACCTAAGCATCATGCAACAACTTTACAACGATTGATTTTGGTTCATATTCTAAACTAGATGTAATATGGCATTCACAATTTTGAAAGAGGCACCATTGCTAATCACAACTATACACTAAGCATGTTTAATTTGGTTACTTAATACTCGTAGACAGAATAGGGGAACAAAAATGCATTTCGACTAATCAGTAATTTTCAGCAATAATCAGTATAGTGCCACTATCACACATGAACCCCTGACCCTTTGTCCACACATTTCACAATTTTGGAAAAGACACTCTTGCTTATCAAAAATTTGATTAATACAAAGGAGAAGAATTCAATCAATTCATTCCTTTCCAGTATATAAGTATAGATAGGTATAGCCCCCCCCCCCCCCAAGGAACCCCTGACCCAGGGGCGTTGAAATTCACAATTCGGAAAGAAGGCCCTTGCTCATTATAGACATATAGGTAGTTCATCTACTTGATACCCAGGAGCAGAGAAAAGGATTTTCATACAATTTCTGCATTTTCCCTATATAACCAATAGAACCCCGCCCTAACAACAGAACCCCTGACCCTGGGGTCATAAAATTCATAAAGGTATTCTTCCACATCATAACTATCATAAATATATTGTAAAAACTCATTCAAATGTATGATTATGATGCTGAAAGTTCCTACATACTTGTTACTTATAAGATACTTTTGAATTGTGAATATCAGGGAAAATATTTTACATAAGAAGTACAATAAAGAAAATGCCTAAATGAAGCTACCTGAGCATCTTTAAAGATTGAATTATTGATTAAATAAAGGAAATATGCGTTTTTAAAATTCTTTTACTTAACAATATTATCATTACACCTATGGAATATCATTCTTCCAAAATATATTGTTCTATTGTTGGTTATGAATTTAATTTATTAACAGTTTTTGCAAAAACCTATGACATTACAGGAAGGTGGAATTACCTTAAAAATCTAGTAAACGTTCAATTCATTATTTTTTTTTTAATTCTGTAAAAAATGTTTTTATAGATATGTGCCCGCAAGGTTATACCTTCTACCGAACCTCTGTTTTCACAACTTGTTTGAAGTATGTCTCAACGGAAGTGAATTACACGGAAGCAGTCAGCAGCTGTAAACAAGATGGCGGAGATCTGGTTCGAATTGATTCTCAGCAGAAATTCGATATATTTAAGAACCATGCAGGTATATTTAAACTTTCAGAAGTTAATTAAGCAGGTTATTGCCGGGATTAAGATTTTATGAATGTATATATGAATTATTAGTAATAAATATTTTAATCAATTAGTTATTTTAAAGAAACTCATATGACATATGCATGATACTTTCTAAACATGCAGACGCATAGACTAATAAATATTTATTTCAACTATAAAACTGTTTAAATTTCATTTGTTTATAAGTTTGGAAAATAAATAATTAAATACTTTCTTAAAAATAAAGACGTTTGATGTGTTATTGTACATGTCGATTCTGCTTCTCAGGTATATGTCATTAAAATACATGTACGCTAACAACTGAGTGCTGATTCGGTATAAGCGTTATTCATTTATTCCTTCCTTGAAAAAAATATTTAAGGCCACCGGATATGTTAATCTATATATAGTAAACGTCAATTCATTATAAGCATGATCATTATACAGTAAACCATGGCTATAGTGTACATGTACAGCAAACAAATCTATAATAAATTGACACTTTTTGAGAAAAAAATTTCAATTCTGTGAAACTTAAAATATATTGTTTACGTAGCGACTATAAAAAAATACGCTTAAAACAAAGCAAAATTTTCCATTAATGGCATTTAGTTATAAGCGTGCTGTATGTTTGTTTTCTGTGTTCAGGACAGTATGCATCTTCTACTGCAATCGAGGTCTGGGTTCAGGGCGAGAAGATCAATGGACAATGGAAATTTCATGACGGTACACCGATACCAGATTTCTGTCCTTTTGTCGAGACGAATGAGCCGGGCGAAGTCCATATCAGATCTAGCAGTGATCGGGACTATAAATGCTTGGACTTTTGGGGGTCTAACGTATTTCACTACATGTGTGAAATACAACATGATTAAGGATGTGTGAAATACATGTTTCAGACATATTGAATAATTCTGAAAAAAGAGATTTTTGTACATGTGTGAAATATTACATACACATGTAAGGTAAAGGTTAAAAAATTTGCAAAAATAAAGAAAAACTGAATAAATTGAAAATATAAAATATGTTAAAGACGTACAACACACTGGGGGAGGTGACTCTTGCGATTTCAATTGAACGTTTGACGTGACGTCAAATTTAACGTCAAAAATAAAGCGTCAAAATGACGAGTAAAACGATCCCGATGTATATCAATCATAAAAGAACAAGTAGAGCTTTTTAAAAAAGCTTCCCGTCTTTAGCAACAATTTTACACAGTAAACTGATCTACACCTATCAGGCCGTATAATTCTTTTGAATTTTCTACATCGGCTTTATACTGGCATTAGCCCTACCACGGTTGTCGCTCGGTCATCTCCGTAAACTGGCCGAGAGCTGATTCCATTCCCTTCTTCAAACAAGAAAGGGGAAAAGAATAATAACAAATTGTAAAGCCTGCAAGCAATTAAAATCAAATTTTATTTATAATGAAATTAAAGAGATCTTTTTATTTATTGCTATACAAAAAAACATGTTATTAGGAATTAATTACTGCTGATTTTGTTGTTCGTTTTGTCATTTTTTTAAGATCGAAAATCTTGCAAAATTGTTAAGTCGTACGAAAATTAGATCATCAGATAGTTATCTCCCTTGCTTTGAACAGCATTTCAACCAATGAAATAATTGAAAATTTTCTCATCATGCATTTTCTACCAATCACAAAAGAGAGGAAGTGCATAGTCCGGAGACTGTAAAAAACTTCAACTATACAATACCGTCTTCCAAGGAAGACGGTAAAAATGGGATAGGGCCTATGGGGCTTGGCTGTGATTATGAGTACCATACTCAATCCCTAAGTATTTATTTTTAATTAACCCGATCAAACTCCGTGAAAAACAAAAGACAAAAAATCCCTTAATGTTTATTTCATTTCATATACAATAAATTGTATTCTTGATCAAAGCGCAGCATTTTTATCAGACCCTTACTGATCAAAGAGGAACAACTCTTAAAATGTAGGATATGTTTGTTTTCCTCCCTTTTATTCACGGTTTTCCGCATACACAGAATCAGATACATTTACAGCAAGACCTGTTAATTCCGAGAATTGAATACAATAGACATCATACACACAATGTTAGTATAGAATTGAAAAGAATTGTTTACTAGTACTGAAATTATCTGAATTTATGAATATTTTTTGCAGCATTGCAAATCGTGTGACTTTCTGACACTGTAAACAATGTCGGTTCGCATTTCCTCGAATCAAAACAAAACGTAGCCTATAAGATTTTTATAAACATCAATGTGCCATTTGATATACATGTACATTGAAATACATGAAGAGTTTAATGTTTGAAAATTTGAAGTTTATGTGGACGAATACGGAATTTTCATTTTAGGCCTAACTTTACAAGCAACGACATTAAAAGAATGTACAATATCGTGAGGGATGTATGTACATGTATGCAAGTTTCGATGTATCCCCACGGCCACATATTGTCTCGTTTGAAATAATGACATGAAAGAAACTATAATTATTCAATTTATATCACAGGAGAGTTGAACATACACCTTTTTAGGTCACCTGAGTAAACTCAGGTGACCTATTGCTATCTGTTTTCGTCCGTCGTCGTTCGTCGTGCGTCGTGCGTCGTTCGTCGTGCGTTAACATTTGAACATTTTCAGCTTCTTCTCTACAACCACTGAACCAATTTCAACCAAATTTGGTACAAAGCATCTATGGGTGAAGGGGAACAAAAATTGTGAATTTCATGATCCCTGCCCCCCTGGGGCCTGAGGGGTGGGGCCAAAACCACTAAAATTAGTGCAATCTTTAAAAATCTTCTTCTTTACTCCTGGACATCAAGCAGTCAAACTGTTTGCATGATTGTAATCACCAATGAGTCCTCTACCAAAATTGTGAAATTCATGGCCCCAGGGTCATGGGTTCTAGTGCTAGGGCGGGGCTAAATAAGTAGGTAGTAAAAATGCATTATTTCTTTGAAAATCTTCTTCTCTGCTCCTGGGTATTAAATAAACCAACTAAGTACATAGTTATGATGAGCAAGAGTGCCTCTACCAAAATTGTGAATTTTATGGCCCCAGGGTCAGGGGTTCTGGTGTTAGGGCGGGGCTCTATTGGCTATATAGTGAAAATACATTAATTCTTTGAAAATCTTGTTCTCTGCTCCTGGGTATTAAATAAACTAACTAAGTACATAGTTATGATAAGCAAGAGTGCCTCTACCAAAATTGTGAATTTTATGGCCCCAGGGTCAGAGGTTCTTGTTTTAGGGTGGGGCTCTAATGATTATGAAATGTATGAATTCTTTGAACATCTTATCCTTTGCTCTTGGTTAATATGCTAATGATCTAATTACATATCTAAGGCCAGGATTTATTTTATTTTCAGTTTTACAAACCCTCCGCTCAAGGTTTTGAACTTTTAGAAAAAAATAAAAAAAAATTTCTTTCCTATGTCAAATTTGAGTCGGGATCGAGATTTCAAATTTACGAACTCGCACTTCCGGTTTTTAGATGAAACGGCGGGTAAAAAAGCTACATCCAAGAATTTAGCATGGTTTAGTGTAAAATTCATCGATAAGAGTGCCATTAAAAACGTTTCACCCGTTCTAAGAACAAATAAATTGCTGACGACTTTGTTGCACAACGACATGCTGGTGAGATAATTATGTATTCGTTTCAAAAGTAACTGTAAATTATTTTCCTCCCCCAGATTTTAAACTGCCCGTGGTAGCTATTGCATATTGCCAGGGACATTGTTTAGGTATCTGTTATAGCTTACAGTCTAAGCATCATTCTTCAGAAAATGGTTGCTTATGCATCAGATGTAATCAATAAAACTATGGGAGAAGTGAAGTCCATTTGAGGAAGAAATAAACAATAACCTGAAGTGAAGAAATAAAAAAAAATCCATCTATTAAAAGGCAAGAATATACAAATATATATAGGCATGTAGTATCATTTGTATCAGCCAGAAAAATTATTTTACACTTAATTGAAAAAATGTTGACCCTACTCCCCAATACCTCCTGTCTGTTTTATGATAGGAATTATAATTTTAGGCATCAAGTAAATTTTAGAACAATGTCTACACATTCACCTAACACATATTGATGTATTGAAAGACTTTTAAAGAATTGATTTTTTAAAATATATTTTGATCAACATCACAAAATTTATATAACTGGCCCAAACTGGCAGATGAAGAAATAAGCAATTAAATGTTCTACTTTCCTATTTGTAAGCATTATGTGTCCAGTGGTAAGGAGCCTATTAGGATAGCATAAAAAAGAATGTACAAATGTTAATAACTGATTTATCAAAAAAATTTATTTCCTTTTCCTTTGGGACTTTTTTATTCTCATGTTCATAACTAAACCTAAACATAAAAAAATGCTGGCCTTATAATGAAGAAAGGGTCCTCTTTCAAAATAGATAATTTCAGGGCTGCTGGGTCAGGGGTACCAAGGGGGTACTTTGACTAAAAATAAATTAATGCTTTGAAATCTGCCCTTTGATAAGCAATGGTGCCTCTTTCAAAATTCGTGAATTTCATGGCTTTTGGCTTAAAACACGAACCAAATACAATTGCTGGAAAGTTGTTACATGATACTCAGGTGACCTATAAAGCCTGGGCCTCTTGTTTGATAAATAAAATTAAAGAAATAAAATTGAAAATCAACATATTCAACATAACGTATCCAAGTTTCATGTTATATGGAATGCATAACGCATACATATATATGGGCTAAGCACTAAATTCCTTCTGTAATTTTTTCCTGATACATTTAAAACCAGGAGTCAATATTTATATATATATTCTGCATTCATGAATTAAAAAATTAATGCATACCACCGGATTCAAATGACGGAATACTAGTATATTTGCACTGTAAACGACGTTTCGTCAGACGCTAGTGGACTGCGACGCAAAAAAAGGAAGGGGTGGGGGTGGTAGGGGTATTCAAAAATTGCCTATTAATCTACATTTAAATACGCTTTACATATAAGAACTTTTAAATATGTAATTTAATATATTTTTGAAGCAAAAGCAATATTCCACTTTGATTTTTTAAAAAATATGTATATGTAGTTTCATAGCAAAGTGATCGACCCCCGTCTGAAAGACGCGCGGGAACGTGATTTATTCAGAAAGGGGGAGGGGGTAATTTTCCGCTATTTAATCAAAACTGGTCGTTCAAAAATTATACAAAAAATTATGAAGATTATTTTTACTACCAACTACCTAAAGAAAGTTTTTTACCAAAATTAAACGACAGGTTCTTTGACAAAAAAAAAATTGAATATGAAAAATACACAATTTTCAAGGCTTAGATAATTCATAGTTTTTCAGTTCAAGGCCTTTAAAAATTGTTTTGATGATATATATTTCAAAAAGATGGCTAAGTTTTTGTGTTAAATGGTTAAAGGAATACGTCAATGAAATTTGACAGTCATATCTAACCTGGCTTTTTTGAAAATCAAGGTTTAAGTAGTTCATTGATTAAAAATTTTCTCTCCTTGTAAACGACTAAAGGGGGGTAACTTTTGGAATTTCTTGTCCAAACACCACTCGAACGATTTTGTCCAAAATGTGCATACATGCAGTAGATATAGTCATGTACTAAATATTTAAAAATAACGAAAATTAAACGACAGGAATTTTTTGGGGTAGGTGTGTTGTACATCCTTAAGCATGTGTGAAAAAATACATTATTATGCTTACGTGTCACTACTGCACATAAAATTCCCTGATATTCTGAAAAATCTCTGATAAACTCTGTTACCCACTGTCAAAGTTCTGCTTTTCTCTGTTTAAGCACTGTACAGGCACTGTACAAAATCCCTGTACCTACTGTAATCCTCGGTAAATCACAGTACAGACTCACTGTTATTTTTTGTACATCCC